TACGAGATCCATATGAAATCTCTCAATTAGTTATAAGCTAGATATGATAAGTTTCTATTCATTCTGATACTTCAACTTCACATTAGCACTACATAATACCTCCTTTCTTCCAACATATTTGTACACCTTCTTCTTCCCTATATGAGATTGTTACAAGAGTCTTTGTGCTGAATGAACCGTGGCAAGATCTCCGGCAGTAGCAGATTTGTGTTGTCTTTGTCTCATGCGCCGATAGTAGAGGGATGAAAGTTCGTCCGGCCTCCTCGTTCGTGGGATGCCTGGGGTCATGAGCCATCTTTGCTGAGAGTGGGCCGGGGGATGCAACTGAGGAGTCTAGAGCCGAAGCAGGTGAGTCTTGCGGCTACAGGTCATTCATTTTGCCAATATACATGCGACGAACTCTGGCCCGCAGCGGCGATAGCCCGACACCGAGCACAACAACCTCCACCTGCATAATATACTACCGCATAGCTTAAGTTTTGCCTACTAGTAAGCTACTACATCTGGCACTCCTGTTTACCCGTAGACTCGCTCAGGCACCTGAAAGGCCCCTCTGCCGGCCCGGAACTGACTCCATCCCTCTCTGTTTCTCTGTGGCATATGTGCATGCTGTAATATCCTCCACACGTCGAAACCTTCGTCCGGGGGTTGGTGTCTGATTCAAGAGCGGGGATGCGAAGTTCGCACCTCGCGACTGAACAAAGTGAACTCCTCTCAAGGCTTCAACATGACAGGGCGAGCTCGGAAACTGTCCCGCATCTTTCAACTCCGACAACGAAACCCCAGAGGAAAACTGCGATGTGCCTTGTCGAAGGCGCGGGCAGCATCGTCCTCCTCATCATACAGTCCGAGGTGCCTGCACGGTTATGCTGACGTGGACGCACAGCTCTTCTGCGCTATTGTCGCTGTCGCACACGGAGCCTTTCTCCCCCCAGCCGGCCTTCGACCAAATCTGGCCAAGAATTGGCCGCTAGGCTGGTGGTAGGTGACGCCTGCCGGTCCCAAACCGGTCTGTCCGACCAGGTCGGGTTCGATACTGGCAGCTTTCGATAGACTGAAAGTGCTGAGGTTCGAGGATTTGCACATCTACTGGCAGCTGTCGCAAAGACATTGGCACAACGTGCATCTTGGGCCGCCGCCCATAAAGCGAGATGACGCTCCTCTGGGCACTGCTTCCTGCAGGATTGCATCGTGGGTTCGTGGACCGTGGTGTAGGTGACGGGGCTTTCTGTTGCACCTCATGCCCTTTTGAACTGTCCGGAACGTCCTCCTCCCAGGAATCCTCCTCGAAATAGTCCGCGTCGGTACAGAAGTTGAGCATGCGAAGCTGCAGAGCCTGGGCTGCAGAAGCTCGAGAGTTCCGAGACTAATCTACAGGCCTTAAGATTTTCATAGGGCTTCTAACCATCAGCTGGCAGTTTCAACAAAAAGCGGAGCCAAATGTAAAGCCTTCATAATGGTAAGATCCTCATTGCAGGACCACCAAATAGGGTGGTGACCTATTTTCTCAAACCGTCAACTCAAAAGCCGCCTTCTCAGCACCCGTGCTGCGGATGGCAGCGTCCACTGCTCGAGCAGCCTGTGACGAGAATACTGACATTGCTCTTTTCTTCAGCAATCTTGCGTTTTTCGTATGGCTGGACAGTCTTCAAAAGCGATATTTATTAAGCTTAAGGAACACTGATGCCAACTTACGGACCCAGAAAGCCATTCGCTGGCATTCCAGTTGTGGGCTTGTTTTTCTGACAGTGCCTGACATGTGCCCGTTCCAGACCCTCAACCCTAAACTCTATCCACGCTCCAACCTCCTCTTCGTCATCGAAGCTGCCGAGGAACTGCTTCACGTTGTAAATCTGGCAGAACTAACAATGGGCCGCCACTGTTGTACATAGAGTCCTCTGAAACAGAGTCCTAGACTAATACAGGGGCCTTAATACTAGGGTTTTGGGACCCAGTATACTATAGTTATAATACGGAAGCTCAATAATAGTAGTATGGTAACTATTAAGGCCCCTACAGACTGGACTGGAAGAGCAGAAGGAGCTTAAGAGCAGAATGCCAAGAGCAGGCACAGGGTGCCTCAAGCTCGGCTCGCCACTTCGTGCTGGTGAGAGTTCGGTACACTCCCATGAACCTGGTCATGGCCCCCGCTTGAAGGTTCATGGGTAGTTGTAAGAAGCGTTATAAGTCCGCTAATATGGGCCATAAGTATACGTACTTTTTTTCCACCCCACATATCACTACCCCTGAACCTCCAAGCAATAAATCGCCCGCGACACTTGAAACTCAGACTCCTGCAACATGCATATGGCTTGCGGTCTGCAAGTGTACGATTCCTGTTTCAGCATGAAGGGCTTCGCCTCGCGGATTGTCGTGGAAACCATACGTCCTCCAGCTCGTCGGCGACTTGATCCTCAACACCAGGGTGCTATCAACCTCCCCAAGAGTTGCGGGCCCAGATTCGAACAAGTAGCTGTCAACATTCTCGAACATTGCCCGAGTAGTAGCCTGAAGATAAATCGTAAACTTAAATGGGCCTCAGCATTCGGACGTCTCGGGCGGCGCTAGGCCCCAAGCGATATCGCTCTGCTTGTACTTCTTGGCAGGATAGTTCGCCGGTGCCTCGCTTGCCTGGAGTGGATACTACATTCGATGCTTTGGTCTCCCAAACCCCAAACTGAGTTTAGGAATTTCTGTTTCCGTGATTTTGGCTCAGGATGTGCAAGGTTTAGGTCCCCAGCCGTAACTCCTACCTGAGACCCAAATAACCTGCCCTAAAATGTAAGTTTCCTAGGTTCTAGGTACGCCCTGCACCAGAAAAGACAGCCACGGTTTTCCTCAAAGGGTGCAGCGCAATGCTCGTCTGCCTTCAGGGCGAGCAAGCCGCAATCGTAGGCCTCTGGGTTCCCGGGCTCTTGCAAGGAGTTGTCGGGTTTGGGGTTTACGGTTTAGGGTTAAGTGCGGTGTATGGCGTGTTCGTCTTCCATGTGGCTTGTCTTAGGGGTTGTATTATATGGGATATGTATGTATGTAGGCTGGGTTGCTATATGGGTTCGCTTACAGGGTTATGTAGGGTTTGCAGAGGTGCTCCATGTTTCGTTTATGGAAGTACTATCCTGTTTTCATCCACCCGACCTAAGCCGTGAAAAGGAACAGTAGGAAGCCCCGAACGGTTGACACCCACACATCGCTTGCTTCGCTCTCTAATTGCCGCTTCCTTTCTTACCATGAAGGGGTCAGGTGCATGCGATGAGTCGATTGGTAATGTTGGCGGCATGTACACCGAAAATCAAGGAAACCACAACGGATATAGGATGGCATGGATCCTTGTATTGCCTGGGTGAATGTGGAAACTGCATCGTGTGTGTGTGTGTGTGTGTGTCTTTGGACTCGATCTTTATTGGCATTACATACATTGCGCCTAATTTCTTTGTGTTCGTTTTGTTGGCACCTTTTGCCAGGTTGTTTTCTGGCATGTTGATATGCCATAGCTAAATGCCAAGTTTGTTGCATAACTGCACATCTCGCCTTCCTGCCTTTTCCACCGCCCTTCACCGTTTACAGTTTAGGCTTAAGCGTTGGCCTCGTTTCGGACTTCGGTTGTCAGGCATCTCAGGCACACCTTCCAGACGTAGAGAAGTGTCTGGGGAGCTTCGGTAAACTGACGGACGACACGAGTCGTGCACACTGGCACAGACTGCGGCACACACAGGAATACAGACTTAAGTTCGCTGGCAGACTTGCAAAGCTCAGCTGCGAAACAAAGCCCAGTCCACAAGCTCAGGAGTAATTAACGCCAACCTATGTTGCGTCACAACCTGAGCCACCAACCCCCAAACACCCCTAAACCCCCTATCCCTTAACCTAAACCCTAAGCCCTTACCCGCCTTTGCAGCATCCTGCTCAGAGGCAAAGAGGCCGAGGCTCAAACTCGCCTTTGGCGCTTCGAGGGCAAGTCAGCAGCCCCACCTAGTTCGCGTATAATATGTACCTAAAAATAAATCAACAAGTAAGTATAAACAACTAGGTATAAACAACTATGTATCTACAGAAATACATGTATATGCATGTGTGTGTATGTATATATATATATATATATACATATACACGTCCCAGTAAGCAACCAGATAGACAATAATCAATATACATTAACGAACACTACCATCTAGCTACACACACATATGTTACATAAATATATATATATATATATATACACATATGTGTATGTGCAAACATAATTGTACAAACATACGTATGTAGCCATGTACGTATACATGTGCTTGCATATTTACCTACCTCAGGGCACCTCAATCTTTGTATCTGAGTTTGAAGCCTTATGAAGCACTCAGTCGACATGACATCATTTTCCATACCCGCAAGTTCCACACCCCCAAACCCTAAGGAAGCCTTTCCAGTGACTCTAGTGCTGCTGAGCCGCCCCCTCGTCTGGCTCCACGACGTGCGCCTGCTGACAACCATAAATACACTCCAGGAAAAGGCGAGTGCGACTGGGCGATGGCATCGCCCCAGAATTTAGAAACTTGCATGCATCACTGACATAACAATGCATGGGGACAGCTGTGTGCAGCTACCGCAGCTGGACTTGCCACCAGCTCCACGCGACAACACTAAGAACGCTTGCCTGCCACCGCTCATACCGATCATGCCAGCTAACACCTGCATAGCGGCAGCACGCAACATGCTAGGCCCCAGTGAGCCCGCAGCAAGCGCAATGTCCGAGTGGCACACCCTCAAATTGCGAAGAATGCAAGGCACGCCTCAATGAGTCACATAGATCAGAACACTCCGTGTCACAGGGTGCAACATGTCCGCAGGGAAGTGGCTCTGAGCCTACAACTTCACTATGCATTTCAGAACGATGGCAAAGAAATTCGGTGGCACTATCGGCCCACTGTCTCCAGAGCTCTGCACCGGGAGGTCCGAAGCTCGGTTCGAGCCACCTTACGATCTTTGCCGGACGTGGGCAAAGGCTCTAGCATCGTAGGGTATTGCCATGACCCGCAGCACTGGCACAAAGGCTTCACGCTTTGAGGTCCTCACAAAGCTCAGACGGGCTACAGCGGCTGCAGTACTTGCCCAGCGCTCGTGCGATGCTGTCTGGATAGCTTCTTTGGGGTTCGACGCAGACAAACCGACGCAAGCAACAGCTCCTTTTCCTCTTGCTCTCCACAAATTTGTCTTGCAAGTTTCTCCCCAAAGCCTACTCGACTCTACTCGAACAAACCCCTCCAGCTGCGACGCTTGCGCTCCCCAATCCGCAGGGCACTACGTCTTGGACACGTCATGCTCGCGTGTGATCTGACGAAGCAAGCAAGGTGCTTTTGCACCTTCTCCACGCGTGCATGTGCCTGAGGGTTGGCAGCCAAGCAGCCCAGATGCATGGTTGCATCCTGTAAAAGATTATGTACACATGTTGCTATGAAGCAACAAGCTGCTTGCACAGTGATTGTGCCTCAGCAAAGGGAACGGATAGCAGCATGGCTGAATATGTTTTTTTACCATGAGCTCCAGCATTCCCTTTGGGCAGCTGCGCTCGTAGCCTTCAGAAGGATGCAAGTAAGGCTTGGGTCAATCAAGCCGTGCCAAATTACCAAAAATAACTCTTTTTTGCCCCCGGGTGGACGGAAGAAAAAGGTGCTCAGCATCGTGCCACACGGTTATGCACAAGTGGATTAGGCTCTTTCGAGCTCCGTGCAACACAGTGGGCAGGTTCTCCGGTAATTGGAGAGCCAAGTAGAAATACATTCTCTGTGAAAGGTATGAGCACAGACACAGGGCACTGCTGCCACACTGTCATCCTCTTTAAATGGGGCAAGACAGATCGGACATTCTTTACCAAGAACCTCGTGCACCGGGACTACTTTGAGAAATTCATTGGTTTCTTCTTCGGTTGCAGGCTTTGCCTTGGGGACGGAGTCATCAAGGCGCAGTAACATCTCGTAGTCCTCGGGCGTTATCTCACGAGAGAGCAAGCTGTAGATCTCACGGTGCGTCAAGCCACATGGTAGCTGTCCATCCGAAAAGTTCCTTCGACTGCGGCTATAGCGGCTGTGGCTGTGGCCATGGCTGTGCCAGTGCCTGCCCTGGCTTCGGCTTCGACTTGATCGCCGCTGTTCCCGAGATCGATGGACGTCTCTAGGATGGGCCATCGTCACCGCTCGGGAGTCGCTCCGGCGTGGATGCATTGTGACTGGAGGACTGGGCTGCACACGTCGCCATCTCCACACGCGACCATTCTGATGCTCACACATATCTGGCACCCATGCGATCGAGTCCACCCCAAGCCATTGCATGCTGAGCCGACCATGCGTTCCCCATTGCCACGAGCTCCGCGATGGATCCCACTGGATGCTAAACTCCCGGGTGCCGTGAGAGTTTGTCCGTCTCACTCGATGGCCTGTGACACTGTATACTTCCCAAGGACAATCTGCGTTCAGCCACATGCCATCAAGCTGACCTGTTGGTGGCCCCGTCTCCTCATATTGGTAGGAGATGAGGGCCATGGCCGCGTTTGTGGGCCCGTCCCAGGTCTTCTAGGGGTCCGAGAAAGCAAACGGCTAACAGAAGCTGGCATTCGGACGCGCACCAAGGAAGCACGGAAGCAGAACAGTCTACGAGGCTAGGAGTGCCAAGGCCTAGCCAAGAAGAAACGACTCTCTGACATCCAGGATCAGGCATCGTCATCGATTCCTCCTCCTCCTCCTCGTCCTTCTCCTGCTGATGCTCGCCACCATCACCGGCAGCTGGACAGTCATTCCTACCACCAGCACCCTTCAATTCTCTGCCTCACCACCATGACATCATCATCGAATCATACCCAGAAAACCCGCGTTCCACGATCTCACGAGCAGAGCTGCAAGCGCTTAGGCGACTGCTTCACTGATCACGCCGAAATCCCAAGCCTCTGCCACGAAGTCATGGAGGCAGTTTCGGGTAAGGGTTTAGTTACTTAGGGTTCTGCTCAAGTCTAAGGTCGAGTCTGCGAGAGCTTCGAGTTCTGGAGCTCCAGGCGAGGGCACGGGTTTCTGCAGATATAAGGAGCAGCTGCGAACCTGTGGCTCCTGTAATCAGGTTACAAACGCTTGATTTCATTCTATGATATTGTGATCTGCCATGCTAGGTTACAGTATTCCGGGGCATGACTCCGGGCAAAGGTCAACGTACTCTCGGATCTCGACAGAATGCCGTAATTCCTCTGAAACTCTCATGGCCTTGAGCCCGTCACAATGCGACATGAGATCAAACTGGCAGCCCAAAGGAGCATTACAGAACTCTATAAGGGAGTTTCCGAAAATAGGGGACCCTAATATGGTACCCTAAATAGTAGGATCCTTAGTATAAGGACCCCAAAATATGGTACCCCCTATTTTCGGAAACTCCCATAAGGATCCCACAGCACTGAAAAGGAGCCGACTGGATAAGTCAACCCAGCGGGTCGTCTCAGGTGTCGGCCGGGATGTGGAATGCAAGCCAGACTGCCAGACCTTCAGAGTCACTGCACTCGAGGAGAGTTTCGGGGTGGTATATGATGATGTAGGACCCATTTAATTTTGGATGGTGCAAAAAGCAGTACAGAATTGCATAGAATAGCATCAGGTATTGGAACATAGGATGGGGAAGGACACTGTGAAGTACACCCGAAATCGGGCCTGCTGCATGCCGGTACCGGCCGACTGCCCGAAATGCAGAGCAGGAAGGACAAGACACTCTAAATTTAAGCACAGTATTCACAGTAAAGTATCGTTTAGTAGAGTTACGTACGGTACATGTATAGTAAAGTAGGCTATATGATTCTTTGTAAAGCGGTTGTATAAAGTAAGTATCGTATAGTATATCTCAGCCCGGGCTGAGACTCAGGGAATCAGAGCTAGTGGTTTTGCGGCTTCAGGGTTTTGGGCTTGCAGCAGCCGCTACCCCATGAGAAGCAAGTGTCTCAAGCCTATAATAAGTTATTATAAGTCTATAGACCCTAAACCCAATAAGCCTCTGCAAGCCTCCGTCAGAGGCCAAGCCCTAAACCGGTGATCCAAAACCTGGTGCTTGCATGGTCAACGCCCAGGGCGCCCCAGAGTTCATGCCCGAACATAATACAGAGGATTCAGCAAGCAGGGGCCCAACATGATTCAACTAGACATGGGGTTCTTACTCCAGAAGCCCTCCCAAGCATAAAAGAAGAAACCCGTCTTAGCTTTAAGAATCCTCCTCTGCCCGCTACCCCGCTCCCCCTGCCCCTCCGGCACGTGCACACAAAAACACACACCCACAGACAGATAGACTAAAGCACCAATACAGCCTCAGCCTCAAACCCCAAAGCCTGAGCCCTAAATGAACCCAACAAGCCCTAAACTTTCTTAAACTTTAGTAGGTTTCAAGGCTTAGGTAAGCAAGCTATAGGTATAACCCGTATTAGGGGACTTTTTACTCCGTTCATAACTACCCATGAACCTCCAAGTAGGCGCCCGTAACCTCAGTCCCGAAAGCTGGCCTACGAGCAGCAAGGCCGCGCTGCCACGTCGCCGCATGGCTCAAGTTCGGGGGCCCAGGGAACTCTTACGTACGGGTTTCTACAAGGGCTCTATTATGCACAGCAGTCTGGAGGGTTTAGGGTTTAGGGTAGAGTGTAGACGAGATTATACCTAGTATTATAGAAGGTAGTTACTTCTGCGATGCAGGGTCCAAGCTAAGCATGCTGCAAGAAGCCTTTTCGCATTTGGCCGAGGCTTAGCCCTACCAAGTATGTTCTTGTGCCAATTCAACATGTCAGCTCCAAAGTGACCACTGCATGTTCTCCATGTCTACCCAGCTTAACTTCGAGAATTGGCCACAAGGTGTGGGAGTTCTGCGTTCACGAGTTACGCTTTCCTGCACAAAGCTGTCAAAGAAAAGGAACCCTTCAACTTCTGCTTGCAGCCATGCATCGGCCCCCCCGAAACCCTAAACCTTGTTTTGATCTCGAGCGCTTCTTCTGCTCAGGGATGCTCCAAAGGGCACACGTATGCAATCCTGTACAGATGCTTGCGGTGCCAGCATCTCAGCATCTCTACCTCACTCTCCCTCCGCTGGTCCCATGGATGTGTGTCTTTACTCCCGTAGTCTGACATGATTATATATATATATATATGTATGTAGTTATATATATATGTATATATATATATATATATATATATATATATATATATAGTACATGCACATATATACACACATGCAAGGACGTACATGTGTTGGTGTACATGCATCCTTGCACATTTGCCTGAAGCTACTTATGCATGTATCTGTATGTCTGTGTCATGCCATATCTACAAACTTATGTCTTCACACAACTTATACAGACATTACCCGTTCTGTAGCAAGCTTCGTCATGGACGCTCTGCTGTGCATGGTCGGACGTGGGCCACTTCCTGATTCTCTCAGATCAGGAGGCCTTCAGTTCAGGCTGCCAGCAAGGCGAGAAGCTCGTAGCATGCTTGGGCCAGGGCCGACAAAGTAGAAGGCGCCAGTGGG